AACAAGCTACTATGTCTTGCTGAAAAGTTACTTGTAAATTAGTTCTTATTTCAAGTATTCTAAGATACTTGCACTACAAACTAGACCTAAAATATTTGGAAGGATTTTGTGTTTTTGCAGTGTTTCAAATTAGTAAAGGTTTTGACTAGGTCACTCCAAAACCTCAAGTTTGCAAATGTATGACTGGATGTTTTTCTTAGGAATTTCTGCTAAAGGGAAGAATTATTTTAGTTGTAAGTTGTTTCTAAGCTACTAATGCAAGTCAGCCTCAGACCATCACACTGCTATAAAGTTTATCTTTACTGTAACTTTTCTTTTCTAAAATGCCAGATGTGACTGGATAAGCGCTAAACTTCCATCTTTAACTCATCTTTAGATTTGTCACAGCAACAAATTCTGCTGTGACAGAATTTGTGAGAAATTGACCCAGTAATTATTGCAATAAATCAGAATATTGTTGTTTTGAAACAATTTTCAAGTGATATAGTCATAATAATTGCATTAATAATGCAAGTTCACCCTTCCAAAGACAATTAAACTTTAATTTAGTAAGGTTACAGTCTTCAGTCCAGTTTCTGAAACTGGAAGAGATTTCAAATATCCCAAAATAAAGCACCACAACCAAAAGCAATAAATAAAATGGAAATTAAAAAAAAATACATAATCATCAATAAAACTATGTCTGCAAACAAAAAAATGAAATATGAACTCAAATTGAAAAAGTTTATAAAAACTAAGTACTGTGAAAGTTACTGATCAAAAAGTGACATATTATTATATTTAAGCCTTACATGGGTTATTATGTTACCTCAAATAAGTTTTTCACTGTTTTAACAAATATTCAGAGGAGAAAATGACAAGATTATACAAATTAAGTGGATTAAATATGGAAAACTATCCATCTTCAATTACACATAACTAGGCTTGAATCAATTATTTGGATTAATCGTGATTAACTGATTATTCAAATAATTGTCAACTAATTTAATAATTGATTAATCGTTAACTTGAGTACAAAGGCTAAATAAAAACAACATCTTCAGAGCAGTAATTAAGCCAAAACTGAACAGATATATATATATTATTTTGCAGTTTGGTTTGAGCCAAAGCTCTGCTGGTTTTCAAAGTGAGAGTTTGTTCTCTGCGTAAATCCAGTCAGAGATTCGGAACATGTTTGCATGCCCTCCGGCTTCTTTCCAACACTTTCTAATATTGTGTCAAACTGTGCTGGGCTGAGAAAAGACGGCATTCAAACCGGGGGATCATTAGCAGTCAAACTAGGCCTTAACTGCTAAGCCAAAATAACGATCACACTCAAGGACTGAGCTTGGCACACATTCCTCTTTTCTTTCTCTCTGCCGCTTTCTCCCCTCTTCACTTTTGATTCCACAAGACACAGAGGCTGACATCTTTGAAAAATGACCTAAAAGCGAAAGCGTAAGGCAGACAACAGGAAAAAGAGGAGCAAGGGGAAGGATTTTAGCACCACAAGGGGCTTCAGTATTAGCAGGGAGGAAAAGGCTTCAAAGCTGTCAGTGATGCCCAAGGGCCCAAACGGCAGAGAGCGGTCGGGATGCAGAGCAGGAAACGCGATGGAAGCAGGTCGGGCTCCAATGAAATGTTCCGTTTATCCACTTCCTCTCAGCATGTTGAATGTAAAGATAAAGTCACCTGTTGATGAATGTGTTACAGCTATCATCTCTGACAGTGTGATATAAATAACTGGTAATTTCCGGGTCTTTATCAGAGCCGTACGGCAGCAATGATTGGACCTTTTCTACCTGCTGGTTCCTGTCTGCAGCCAGTCAGAACCGCCGTTCTGACTGAGCTGAGAAAATAATAAATACAATGCAAATTATAGTGTTGATGTAAATTAACTAGATTAAATATGAACAACTATGCAGTTTCAATCAAAATTTTGCTAATAAATAGGGCTGAAACAATTAATCATGATTAATCGATTACTGAAATAATAATTAACTGGAGAATATAGACTCAAAGAACGCCATTTATTGAAAAAAACAACATATTCAGAGCAGCAAGTAAGCTGGCACTGTACAACAAATATATTATTTCCCATTTAAGACTAAAAAAACGTATTTGCCTGTAAATCTCTTCTACCCAGAATTAATCAAATCTCAGAGTTTTAGCTTCACCTGATTCAGATTCTTGTATTTTACTCAAAAAACTTATTTTCTTATTTAAAAAGGAATTTAATTACTATTTACTTGCATTTTAATGTATTTCTAATGTATTTAACAGACTAAAGTGGTTAAGAGCAAAATCTGTAGAATGTGGCATTTTTTTTAGTCCAATTAATAGAATAATCATCAGAATAACCGATAGATTAAAATAATCACCATGAAAATACTTCTGTAATAATTTTGGGGCTTTTAACAATATTTTTGACAAGTTCAGTTCAAGAGTGGATTGATTGTTAAGCCAGTCTTGTTTATTAGATTTATATGGACATATATTGTATTTAATTTAAGAATCAAAGTAATAAATTATTAGTTTTAGTAGTTTAACAACAGAATGACACAGCTTTTGGCAGATTTATTTTTGCTCAACTGAGAGCAAAAGCATCTCTTACAGAAGCCTGATTACTTCTGATGTAATTGAATTTAAATATATATTTTGGACGATATGTATATTATTGACCCTGTGTGAGAAAATCACCCAGGTCCTGTTAAAACTCAAAAAATTAAAAGTAATATTTACACTTCTGATGATTTGACGTAAATGTTTAAAATCCAGGCATGTTTAAACGTTTTATTTTAAAATATTAGATTCAAAATGCTCCTATTATTTTTAACTAAATCACCACCACATTAAAGTGGAGCCTGAAAAAAAAAATAACATTAAGCTTGTTTGGATTTGTTAAGCCATAAGCTGATAATAAAATATTAGGTTTCTGTGTGATGTTTTAGGAAGCGGAGTCTTTCCCAGCTTACCTGACTCACCTGAGTTCAGTTTTATTCCTGATGCTGTGGACTGAATAGCTACTTTGCTGGAGGCGTGCATCGTTTCATTAGCCTGTAAATTACAGACTGAGATCATTTCCCAGTAATGCTTCAACCTTTCATTGACCTGAATGGAGACATAATACTTACAGAGCTGTCATAAATCTAAATGCTACAAAAATTAGCATAGAGATGATTTAATAAGACATTTAATTACATTAAGGTTGAGATCCAATCAACCAACTTTGTTACATATAAAAAGATTACAGATGCCTCAATAAGACATACTTACACTTGAACCAAGATTATTAAAGAATATTAACCCATAAAATGAAGAATTAAATGTATAATTAATAACTGAAAAGACGCACAAAAGGTAAAAAAAAAAAATTTCTCTACAAACTGTTTTTAAAAAGTTTTGAATATTGCAAATACCCTAACTGATTAAAACTCCAGCACTAATTCTGGAGTTTAATCAGATTTTTAAAAACACAAAGTAAACGGTTTAAAGAACTTTATCTGATTCAGGCTTCACTTCTGCTCCTGCAGTTACCAAATTATTATCTCAGCAGAAAGAAGGTGGGTTGCCGGAAAATATGTTTTCAGGCGTCAATTTTGATAAAAATGTTAAATTTAAATGTTAAATTTTTTTTATCTCAAACTCAGATCTCAAATTGATGATCGATTCTGTCAGACTTGGCAGATTAAGAAGTTTTGAAAGGTTTTCTTATATTTCTTACTGAATCCACCTGGCTTGGCTGTCAGAGAAGGAGGAATCAGGAGGGACTGATCAACCAATCAGAGGGAGAGTTGGGGTAACACAATATCTAGGTTGGGTGTTTCAACATTTTACCCGGAGAAAAGAGACTCTTCAGTTGTTTCTGTGCGTCACACATGTATTTTTTAAGTAAATACCTATATTTATTTTCAGAGTGTCTCAGGCGTCAGACAGTTGTTTGGGAGGTCGACCAGATCAGTGCCGTAAATCCACGTGTTGTGCTTCATTTCTACTCGGTGATGCAGTGCTGCTGTCTCTTTGTCATGAGCGACAAGCTGCAGGCGGTTTGAGTGAGAGATGAGATGCGGTATCTAAACGACTGAACCTCAAGGCGGGCAGCTCGGACTGGAAAATGGAATAACACACACACGCACACACAAACACACATGAAAGCATGGCTATTATTGTGGAGACTTTCCATCGACTTCCATTAATTTCTACAGCCTTATCCTTATCCTTATCCTAACCAAAACTCAATTCACACCTTAGTCCTAAATCTAACCCCTGACCCAAAAACAGCGTTTCCCTTTGTGGGGACCAGGCTTCAGTCCCAGTGAGTAGTGAGTCCCAATAACGTCGTATGTATCAGGCAAATGGTCCCCATAAAGTATTAAAAACAAACGCACATACAGACACATGCACATGTACACACACACACAAACACACACACACACACACGCACACACACACACAAACACACACACACACATAACCTACTGATCCCACACAGTCCAGCCCATCACCCACCCACTAAATTTGTATATCTCGCTCTCTCCTCGTCTCATTTTCCGTCGCGCTGCCGGTGGCTGTGTGCAAATTCACTTACTGTGCAAATGGAAAGCAGATCTGCACCATACAGTTTCATTTGGTCTCATATTCCTGCTGCAGGAGAGTCTCTTCATGCTGCTCTCCAGCACGTTTCAGATTAGATTAGAGATTATTCATGCAAACTGATGCACAAACAATTCATTCCAGACTCACTCTCACTGCTGCATCTCACTACCAAGGCTTGTGTCGTCCGCTTTGGGTCGGATGTTGTGCAGAAACTTTAACTAGAAGCTGAGTTTGAATGTTCAGAACATCATATTTTTAATTAAATCAGGTTTAGCACGAACAAACATCTTCTTCCCAGAAGGAGGCGAATAGATTGAGATTTTTTTTGGTGCTATTTCTGAATAAATCATAAATGAGAAATGTCTTTACATTTCAGGAAAGCCAATTTTCAGGACTGATTGCTTCTCATTTTTCTCTCCTTACAGATGCGAAGCACTCGAGGTGTTTCTGTTTGGCCTGTGGGATTTGTGGGTGGCCGAACATATGAGCGCCCCCTGGTGTCCGGGGGCAAAGTGGTTGGTTGGTACACTGGCTGGAGGCCGGATAGACCCTTTGCTACTGACATGGCAGGTAAGAAGCAAAATGGAGAGATAATGAGACTGACTTTTTCTGCCTCATTGGAAGAAAAATGTCTTGTGTTTCAGGTAACAAGATGCTAAGAAGTGATTATATATTCAATATCTAACCTCAAATATTCAATGTAATTCAACACAGTTGTTGCTAAAGGCAAAGTAACTCTCAGGGTGCATTCAGACCAGCCCTGATTGGTTCGTTTTCGTCAAACGCTGGTTCGTTTGGCGATGTATGAATTCGCAATCAAAGTCTGATGTGAATCAAAAAAGCAAACTCTTGCCGCCTAAGAACTGGGTCTCGGTTTGGTTGAAGTGAAACTGGTGCGGTTTGAATGCAGATGTGAACACCAAGCGGACCAGAAACTGCTCCAAAAGCAGGAAGTGGGCTACAGCGCAGGGTATTGTGGGTAACTACAACCAAAACAAACGCGAGAGTCCATCGCTAGCAAGAGAAATGACTTGAAAGGCAAATATTTTGTCTTTCGTAATGATAAAATTCTCTTTTGTCATTACAAAAGACAAAAGATAAATCCTACAACCCCTAAAATTTGATGCCATTTTTGTTCACATTTTGGAAAAGAAAAACGGAACAAAAGTTTCATTTTTGGTTCCAAATCGAACCGGACTGTCAGGTGTAAAAACATCCTCAAACATGGTTCTGGAGGAATTTTGCTGCCATTCAGGTTTCCAGCAGCCCAACAACAGAATCTCAGTCAATGTTGCCTTGATTCCTTTCTTTTCTGTAATAAATGTCCAGCTATGATTCGTTTTATCATCCCATTGATGACCCAACTTCATTTGCCTCCCTTTCAACTCTAAATACTGTGAACTCCAATGACTGCTGGAAAGGACAAATGTTCATTCTTGTTGGTTGTGCAGGAGGCTCTACTTATGCTTTTCAAAGATGCACAGCTGTACAATTTTGCATTTGTTTGTAGCCATTTTGACGCTTGAGTGTAAGCGCCAAGTCGGGGGGTGTGGCCAGCAGCCACGTCTTTGGATTTAAAGCAACAGGAGGCCTTCAAGCAGCTCATAGGAAGAACTGAGAAGAGTAAACTCTCTCCACCAAATCTAAGAATGATTTGGTGCAAGCAATGTAACAAACATGTTTGGTAGACATATCCTAACCCCTTCAAGGAAGCAAAATAGGTCACAGTTGCTCTAGAGCAGGAAACTCTTGTTTCTACAGAGCTGATCATACTGATCATAGACACCTGAACATGTTGTAAAATGTGGGAGATAATTTAGAAACAAGCCAGTTTCTTCATTTTAACTTTCTAGTCCTTTACTGAAAATAAAACCATTCTTTCTTTTTCAAGTTCTCAGGTCTCGTCGATTGAACAGCTGAAATCAGACTGAATATTTTTGATTTGTTTGCTGCCAGCTGGGGAAACACAGATACTGAGTTGCGCTCTCTCCTTCCTAGCATGTCCACACGAATCACGCTGCTTTCTATTGAGCTGCTTTTTTTTTCATGGATTAATTTGCCATAAAATGAGATCTGATCTTTCCAATTAAATGTTCCAACTGTTACTCCTCCACAGAGGAGCTGCTACGCGTCTTTGCTTCATAGTTTATTCCTCTGATGAATCACTAGGCGGGATTCAAGAGCCTCGCTTAATAAAACGGTGCTGATAAGCGACAGAGTAAACAGTTTCAGGATAACTGATTGTGAAAAATCCATCACCTGATCATGTCTCTTGCTTCAGCGTTTAAAAATATCTCATCAAACACAGAAACGGTTAGAAAGTATTTGAGTTTTTGAATAATATTAAATAAATTATGACATTACTAAACAATTTACAAGAATCAAATCTGAATTTGTAGATTAAAATATATTCAGGAAGGGCTGGTTCTAAAGTTTAGCAGATGCATTTGATCCACTAGCAAATTTTGTCATCAGGTTTGCACACATTTCAGGAATCATTTTGGTCATTTTTTGTTTTCTGCACTGCTGCTTTCCAAATCAAAGCTTCAGCTCACTGCACACACCTACAGGATTGAAACTCAGACATTTCTGAGATTCAAAAGTCCAAAATTTGCAAGAAAAACTCAAACGGTGTCAGAAGTCGAAAACATTCCACAATTGGAAATGTTCTGAGCTTTAAAATTCCAGCACTTTCAACCTTTGAAGCTCAGAATTTTCCAAGTTTCTTTTAGAATTTTTCTGGGATTTATCTCAACATTTCTGGTCAATCTGGTCAATCTCTCTGAGTTCTGAGAACAGACACTTTTTGTTGTTTCTTTTGTCTTTAAAATTGTTATTAAAAGTGTTTTGGACAGATTTAAGGATGTAATC